ACTGTTTGTGCTTAAAAATAGGTTTATCAAAATATATATGGATTATGTGAATAAAATCGTATACAAATGTACAATAATAATATATAGTTAGTTTTACACAAAATGTTGATGCGCACACAAGCGCGCCAAGTAGTCTTACTCTGAAAGGCAGACGATGCTCTCTTCCCTTCCTCCTGGCACGCTGTGTGAATCATTTACGCTTTAACGAGAATATAGACTTGGAAGCTGAGAGTCTTCAGATTCAGACAGTATTTAAACCACATTTCTGTGCTGTATTATTGGGGATATTAATAAATTGTGAAAACAGACTGGTGTGTTTGGCAACCCCAGGGTGGTAATAGAGAAAATGACAAAATGATAAATCAATACTGAAAATAATGGTGAGTTGCAGGTGGAGCTGTGAGATCTCCTGGAAGTCCAACAGGAAATCTGTCTCTGTGTTTATGGTGGATGTTTCTTATTATATTAAATTTTTTGTGACAGATTAAATACGTCATTCTAAAGAAAGAAAGACTAACAGAAGAAACGGGTGTCGTCTGCAAACAGTCACACTTATAACAGCTGAAAACAGCACAAACAGCAAAGTTTGAAAAAGTCAACTTTATTTCTATCAAAGAATGAACCGAGTGAATATTTAACATCATATTTTTGTTGTTTTTTCATTTCTTTTAAATATAAAATTCACAGTTTAAGTGGTGATAAAGGAAAAGACGCCATAAATAGTTTGATTCAAAAACAGGGCTGAAAAACAAAAATAACAACAATAATGTTGGAGGAGGTGAATCTGGTGAGACAGACCCCAGAAACACACTGAACCAGTACAAATAAATCCCAAAATATTCACTGTCACATACAACTCTTCCATCAGGAATAAACTGAGGTTTGGATTTTGTCGGATTCATCACATCTCGAAAACAATACCTGCTACATGCTTTATTTCTTTCCATATATTGACTCATAAAAAACATGAGGACGTAACATTCAAAGATCCTGAATATGAAGATAAACTCAGTGTTTAAAAGAAAAATATGCTCAGTGTGTTTTCAGGATAAAGTCCCTGTTTTCAACAAACCAAAATATAACTTTATCTGCTTCTCAGCTCAATCTGATAAATAACTTTCACATTTATTGAGTTTTAAAGCTGAAAATGATCAGAGAAATAAAAGTTGAGTTTTGGTATAACCTTCAAAATAAAAGCACATTTTAAATAGATTTTGCCACTACTATTAATGTTGTCGTTGCTACCGTTGTTGCTGTACATCTGTCTGTCTGTCCCTAGAGACCAACAGCTACCACCATCGCCAGCAAGCGCTTGGCGACGGGGGCAAGGAAAGAAGACTGCTTCTGTAACAGGTGGTTCGCTTTCGGCTCTAGGTCGGTCGTGCAGTCTGCCTCCGAACAGTTGGGGGGAACAGAGAGAGAGAGACCGCACAGAGAAGAAGACGAGCAGAGAGAACGAGAAAACAGAGAG